TTCTGGAAAGTTGAATATGGAAATAAGTAGATTCGGTGGTTTCTGGTGTAGTTCCGGTTAGCAGGTAGATGGTTTCGGTGTAGCAGGTAGATGGTTTCTGGTGTAGCAGGTAGTTGATTTCTGGTGTGACAGGTAGATGGTTTTGGTAGTAGCATGGTTTTGATTTATGTGTGTTCGGTAGTGGGTGTAGCAGGTAGATGGTTTCTGGTGTAGCAGGTAGATGGTTTCTGGTGTAGCAGGTAGTTGGTTTCTGGTGTAGCAGGTAGATGGTTTCTGGTGTAGTTGGTTTCTGGTGTAGCAGGTACAGTTGAAGTCGGAAGTTTACATACAGTGGTGAAAAAAAGTATTTAGTCAGCCACCAATTGTGCAAGTTCTCCCACTTAAAAATATGAGAGAGGCCTGTAATTTTCATCATAGGTACACGTCAACTATGACAGACAGATTGAGATTTTTTTTCCAGAAAATCACATTGTAGGATTTTTAATGAATTTATTTGCAAATTATGGTGGAAAATAAGTATTTGGTCACCTACAAACAAGCAAGTTTTCTGGCTCTCACAGACCTGTAACTTCTTCTTTAAGAGGCTCCTCTGTCCTCCACTCGTTACCTGTATTAATGGCACCTGTTTGAACTTGTTATCAGTATAAAAGACACCTGTCCACAACCTCAAACAGTCACACTCCAAACTCCACTATGGCCAAGACCAAAGAGCTGTCAAAGGACACCAGAAACAAAATTGTAGACCTGCACCAGGCTGGGAAGACTGAATCTGCAATAGGTAAGCAGCTTGGTTTGAAGAAATCAACTGTGGGAGCAATTATTAGGAAATGGAAGACATACAAGACCACTGGTAATCTCCCTCGATCTGGGGCTCCACGCAAGATCTCACCCCGTGGGGTCAAAATGATCACAAGAACGGTGAGCAAAAATCCCAGAACCACACGGGGGGACCTAGTGAATGACCTGCAGAGAGCTGGGACCAAAGTAACAAAGCCTACCATCAGTAACACACTACGCCGCCAGGGACACAAATCCTGCAGTGCCAGACGTGTCCCCCTGCTTAAGCCAGTACCATGTCCAGGCCCGTCTGAAGTTTGCTAGAGTGCATTTGGATGATCCAGAAGAGGATTGGGAGAATGTCATATGGTCAGATGAAACCAAAATAGAACTTTTTGGTAAAAACTCAACTCGTCGTGTTTGGAGGACAAAGAATGCTGAGTTGCATCCAAAGAACACCATACCTACTGTGAAGCATGGGGGTGGAAACATCATGCTTTGGGGCTGTTTTTCTGCAAAGGGACCAGGACGACTGATCCGTGTAAAGGAAAGAATGAATGGGGCCATGTATTGTGAGATTTTGAGTGAAAACCTCCTTCCATCAGCAAGGGCATTGAAGATGAAACGTGGCTGGGTCTTTCAGCATGACAATGATCCCAAACACACCGCCCGGGCAACGAAGGAGTGGCTTCGTAAGAAGCATTTCAAGGTCCTGGAGTGGCCTAGCCAGTCTCCAGATCTCAACCCCATTGAAAATCTTTGGAGGGAGTTGAAAGTCCGTGTTGCCCAGCGACAGCCCCAAAACATCACTGCTCTAGAGGAGATCTGCATGGAGGAATGGGCCAAAATACCAGCAACAGTGTGTGAAAACCTTGTGAAGACTTACAGAAAACGTTTGACCTGTGTCATTGCCAACAAAGGGTATATAACAAAGTATTGAGAAACTTTTGTTATTGACCAAATACTTATTTTCCACCATAATTTGCAAATCAATTCATAAAAAATCCTACAATGTGATTTTCTGGAATTTTTTCTTCTAATTTTGTCTGTCATAGTTGACGTGTACCTATGATGAAAATTACAGGCCTCTCTCATCTTTTTAAGTGGGAGAACTTGCACAATTGGTGGCTGACTAAATACTTTTTTCCCCCACTGTATATATAAAAATAAAAAAAATCTCTCAGCTATACGAAAGACACTTCAGAACACACTTCCTTTAGATTTTGTTGGGTGGGGAGACTGTTGTTCCATGTAGTGAATCTGTTATTAAATGCATTTTTTATGGGATAATAGCAGTAAGGCCAAAAATAATTTAAATTTCCAAATCAAATAGCTAAATAATCCTTGGTAAGACCTTCTTAAAACAATTCCATATAGCTAAAAAAATTATTATAATATGAAACAAAAATGGCTTTTTAGCTAAATAAATGACTAGGACTGTCTGGGAGTGGTCTGAGTGGGGAGGGGAGGGCACCTGACAACTGATAACTATCTATTATTGGCAGAGAGTTTTGGAAATCTCTCTAGCCCCGTTTATATCTGGCTCTAACTTGCGTTCTTTGTCCTGATCTTGTCCACATTCTGATTGTGCCCACAGTTTTAGACAGGTGTAGACAATCAAAAGACACATTGTGATCTGATTGTGATCAGATCATCCTGCCCACCTGCTCAGGTAGTCAGACCTGCATTTTGTCTGGATATCTTAAATCATTTAAATCATAATTATTCCACCCTCTAAAATCATTGACATGTGGCAACCATTGACTGATTACATCAATATGTTTTTTTTTACAGTAGATACATTCATATTAATTTAAAAGAATAGCTGTGAAATAATTTGCATAAAGGAAGGCACCAGGAAATGTGTAAGTCGCTCTGGATAAGAGCGTCTGCTAAATGATGTAAATGTAAAATGTAAATGAAATCTGGCCACAATGCAGACACAGTGGACAGATAAGACACATGTTAATACCATGTCTAGACACCTTTCTGGAAATCAGAAATGTAGACAAGAACATGACAAAGGACCCATATTAGCACCAGGTATAAACGGGGCTTCTGTTATTTGTCTATTCACTTATTTACCACCTGGTGATGTCACCAGGCTAGCCGAAACTCCACCCATGCAAAACCTGCTGATTAGAAGGTCCTGTGTAGATTGTATTTTCAAACAAAAACTCTCAGGAAATAACACTGATAAAACAAACTGTATCAGCTGTTGATACAAAACACAGGAAAAACTAAATGGTGACTGCACAGGGCCTTTAAACAAGCCACTGGTCTGGAATCATGTTAAGAAGAGTAGTCTCTTCATCAGCGGGAACACAAGCTCCCTGCAGTCTCTTCAAGCTCCCTGCAGTCTCTTCAAGGTCCCTGTAGTCTCTTCAAGCTCCCTGCAGTCTCTTCAAGCTCCCTGCAGTCTCTTCAAGCTCCCTGTGGACTCTTCAAGCTCCCTGTAGACTCTTCAAGCTCCCTGTAGACTTGCAACTCCTGGGACTCTTCAAGCTCCCTGTGGACTCTTCAACTCCTGTGGACTCTTCAAGCTCCATGTAGACTCTTCAAGCTCCCTGTGGACTCTTCAAGCTCCCTGTGGACTCTTCAAGCTCCATGTAGACTCTTCAAGCTCCCTGTGGACTCTTCAAGCTCCCTGTGGACTCTTCAAGCTCCCTGTAGACTCTTCAAGCTCCCTGTAGTCTCTTCAAGCTACCTGTAGTCTCTTCAAGCTCCCTGTAGTCTCTTCAAGCTCCCTGTAGTCTCTTCAAGCTCCCTGTAGTCTCTTCAAGCTCCCTGTAGTCTCTTCAGGCTCCCTGTAGTCTCTTCAAGCTCCCTGTAGTCTCTTCAAGCTCCCTGTAATCTCTTCATCAGCGGGAACACACATTTATTTTTTTGTCACAACAGACAACCTTGTCTTGCCAGAATCCTTGAATATTCAGCTGTAAATTAAGACGTCTGAAAGGTGTCGCAGACAGACAGCGTTCCGAGGATTTAGGTAGAAAGCTCAGGATGTGATCCACCCTGTCTTTAGGTTTTAACTCTTGAATGAAAAAAAACAAAAATTGCCAGGGTGACAGTCTACTTCGGCTCTATTGCCAACTCCTTATGGAATTGTCCTGCCAAACATGTTTGACAATGACAGCAATGGATTTTGGCAAGAGCACAAACAGATGTGGGACCAGGCTTGAAAATAAGACATTATACTTCCAATATTCCAGATTAAAATTCTGTTTAAGGACCAGATTATATGAAACAGTATGTGTTCTTTTCATGTGGTATTGTGGCATTGCATTTACCAGGGGAACAAAAGTGCAGTTGTACCTCTTCAATCCAGCCTCATTTTGCCATTGTAGGAGAAGAATTAGAAAATGTGTTGCTAAATGAATGTAAATGCAGGGGTTGATAAATCTAAAACAATACTCTTCATACTGTTTCAAAGCATCCAGGACACACTTCAGACGGCACTTCCATAAATAAGTTAATTGCTCATACGCACAGGGAAAGGCAGGGTTTCCCAAACTCGGTCCTCAAGGGGTACACATTTTGTTTTTTGCCCTAGCACTACACAGCTGATTCAAATAACCAACTCATCATCAAGCTTTGATCATTTGAATCAGCTGTGTAGTGTTAGGGCAAAAAACTAAATGTGCACCCCTCGGGGTCCCGAGGACCGAGTTTGGGAAAGGTCAAAGGTAATGTGTGTGACTGTTATAAAATAATTTTTAATTAAAAAAAACCAGGAAAACATCTTTGCACAGAGACAATGAACCTTTATCCTTATTGTCACCTTTTTTCCATAGCAGAACAAACTTAAATGCAAAAGCAACATGTATCTGGCACCGTGAACAGTTGGCATTTGTCGAAAAACAAAAACACAGGGGGAAAAAATCATTTTGTTGTCGTCAGTCAACGTCTTTCATAACGAGGAGCCTCATTGGCAGTCACATGATCACGCAGCAGTAGTAGAACCAATCAGTGCTTGGTTGCAGTAACAGGTATAATAGTCTCCCAACGTATATACACAATGTCCGGAAGAACCATTCCCAAGTCTGATTGTAACCAACCTATAAAGTGCTTTCTCAAAGAAAAAAATATTATCATAATCATCTTTCACGATAATCAGTATATCAATTAGGATAGCATTATGTATATATAAAAGACCATCTGGCATAAAAAGGTCAGTTCAGGCACGAACAGAGAGCTCTCCTCTCCTCCTCTCCTTTGGCGTTTCACTTCTTGAAAGGCGTCAGTCTGCCGATGTTTTGCCAGAAGGTGGTTGCCTTGCGTTTGGGCTCAGCCAGCATGAAGACCTGCTGCTGGGGCACGCTGCTGGGCAGAGATGGCTGCTTCTGACGGAGCAGGAAGTCACAATAGGGTCGGGTCACCGCTGGGGGAGAGGAGAGCAGAGGGGGGTTAGTAATCTCTGGGTCACCGCTGGGGAAGAGGAGAACAGAGGAGGGTTAGTAATCTCAGCACCCAGAACTAAATCAGCGACTTAATTTTCAACATGTTAATGTCAAGAATGTGACGAGAGACTAGGGTTTTTGAAATGTAGATGGGGGGGATTACAAGTGCATTTGAATCTAAAGAGGCTCATATGAATATTAAGCACACAAACTAAATGTGTATAAATATAGCCAAACATGTCATCTTAGCTTCTTTAAAAAATCAACACCCACGACACTACACACCCATCCACACAGCCAAACCTAAAACTCCCAAAGGGAAATGGAGTTTTCCTGCCATGCACCCATATTCAGTCCAACCCCCTAAGGACTACTTTACCCAGACATACCTTTGGGCTTCCCAGCTGGATGGCTTTTGCAGGCGTTGAGCATGGCCTGTTTCTTCTGGACCTCAGTGATGGAGAATCCTGGAGGTGGAAACCACATAGGTCATAGGTCAATGTGGATATCACAGATATCATTCTGCCAGTGCCACCTATCAATACCCAGAATAATACAAGGCCAGATTGTTGGATGGGAAAGTTTCAGTAACATCCATATGCTCTGTTTTTCCAGGGGGGAGCTGACTGGATCAGGGTTAGGGAGGCAGACACATCTAACAGCCTCAGAGCAAGAGTCCACTGAACTTCCAACCAGATGGCAAGGCAGAACCCTCCACACATGCACAGATCCCAGACAAAACCCTAAGACTATGGCAGAGAAGCGAAGGGTGGGGGGGGGGGGCAGCTGAGATGGATTGATGGGCCCTTTTGCCTGTTTATCTGAGGGATCAATGACACTCTGAACCATTTAGCATACCCTTCTCTTCCTGGTTCTCTGTTCTCTGACCACAGTCACTGCCACAACAGCTGTTTGAACTATTATGGCAGCAGTAGTCTGGGGTAGAGAGAGAGACAGGAGGACGAATCTCACATTTGACTAACAGGAAAGGAAACACAGCTGACTAGTAATAAACACAGGTCGGCAGTTCATCACATACCTTTTTCAAACGGTGGCGCACAATTATGACAGAGACGGTTAACTGACAGTTATCCCTAAGGCAACGGGGTGGCACCTCACCTGTCTCACGGTCGTGCTGCACCTGCCTCCTCTCGTCCTGGAAGGCTCGGAGCCAGCGTTGTTTCTGCTCAGGCTTCTTGGCACACAGCAGGTGGATCTCGTCCCCCGCCAGCGAGCGCAGCTTCAGAGCGTTCTTCACCGACACGTTGAAGTCCTTCTCCTTCCCGTCCTCCACATCCAACACCTCAATCTGGTCCATGTCCATGCGACCCTTACAGTACAGCATGTCCCTGCGCAGGAGGTCCTAGAGGGGGATAGAGAGAACTGTTACTAACCCTAACGCTTACGTGGTTGGGGAAGGGTTGTAGTTTTTAACAGTGCTGCTCACCTTTTTGCAGTACACCATCTGGTGGTCGAAGAGGAAGAACATGCGCTGCTGGCTCTTAGCTTGAGGCTGGGAGATCTTCGTCAGCTCTCCAGAGAAGATCAGATCCGAACTCTTACTGAGGATATCTTCTCCCTGACCATGTTCAAACACACACCATAAATATATGTTAGAGCCTGCAGAGATACGGGGCATGATATAGAGAGATTGTTCAGTCAACAAATGTGTATCGTATAGCTAGGGAGTTGGTCCTGACTAAATGACCTCAGGCGTTGTTTCCAGATCAAGTCACCTGGTCAGGAAACCTGACTCTAGTCATCAAAAAGATCATCAAGGACATCAACCACCCAAGCCACTGCCTGTTCACCCCGCTATCATCCAAAAGGCGAGGTCAGTACAGCTGCATCAAAGCTGGGACCGAGAGAATGAAAAACAGCTTCTATCTCAAGGCCATCAGACTGTTAAACAGCCATCACTAGCACATTAGAGGATGCTGCCTATAGACATAGACTAGAAATCACTGGCCACTTTGAGAAATGGAACACTAGTCCACTTTAATAATGTTTACATATCTTGCATTACTCATCTCATATGTATATACTGTATTCTATACTATTCTACGGTATCTTAGCCACTTTAATAATGTTTACATATCTTGCATTACTCATCTCATATGTATATTGTGGTCCTCTGTAGCTCAATTGGTAGAGCATGGCGCTTGTAAAGCCAGGGTAGTGGGTTCGATCCCCGGGACCACCCATACGTAAAAATGTATGCACACATGACTGTAAGTCGCTTTGGATAAAAGCGTCTGCTAAATGGCATATTATTATTATATACTGTATTCTATACTATTCTACTGTATCTTAGTCCATGCCGCTCTGACATCGCTCGTCCATATATGTATATATTCTTAATTAATTCCTTACTAATATTTGTGTGTATTGGGTATATGTTGTGAAATTGTTAGATATTACTTGTTAGATATTACTGCACTGTCAGAGCTAGAAGCACACGCATTTCACTACACCCGCTATAACATCTGCTAAACACGTGTATGTGACCAATACAATTTGATTTGATTTGATTATGTTCCATGACCAATGATACACTGTTCCTCACCTCCCAGTCCTCTATGGAGCGCTGCCATTGGGCGATCTTGTCGATGTTCTCCAGGCGGCGCTTCCTCTCGTTGATCAGCCTGGCCACGTTCTTCATGGCGTCCAAGGCAGCCTCCACGTCCTTATAGTCCCTGGGTGTCCCAGAACAGACAACCATGCTAGACTCTCATTCCTTTCTCTCTCACATCACACTGTATCTTATAATAGCTTTGTTTTATATAAAAGTCACCAATATGGCTGCCGATTTACAATCTGAAAATAACTAAATATACTATCAGTGTCAATACCGCTGCTGTAAGTGAATTAGGTGTAGATTAGAAGGGATATGTGCAACTCCTTGTATGTGTACACCGTACATATACAGGATAATGTGTGTGCTGGTTTACAGTACCTGTGCTGGGGGTTGGTATATTTCAGTAGCTCGGCAAGCTGCAGAGGGTACTTGCAGATCTTCTGGACGGGCGTGAGCAGGAAGCCATCCAGCGAGATGTCAATCATCTTCTGGAGCAGGCGACAGGCCTCGAAGAAGAACACATACTTGTTGGTCTTCATCCGCCGGGACAACTGTACACAGGCGTTGGGGTGGTTGTTACAGTACTCCGAGTAAATCTGGAAGTCTGTTTGCTTAGGAGGGAGAGGAGGAGACAGGAAACGTTAACATGGCAGTTTGGAATGGCGAAAATTATGCTTGGGCTCTAGGGAGGTTTTTTGACTTCCCCAATATAAACTGCTGGTGATCCTTCTACATTTTGGAAAACAGTAAATGCACAAATTCCTCTTCTTCCCTGCCTAACCATGTTCTGTCTGAGTCTGGCATCATAACTGAGAAGAATGGAAGAAGTGATGCTGTAGGAGCCAAATAGGCTTAATTGTATGTTTCCAATTCATGATGCATTTCTGTTGTATGTGTGTTTGCCATAAATCCCTTGTCAAGTGTGTGTACCCCATCTACAGGCCAATAGAGAAAACAGTTAAAAGACATACACGCCCCATAGCCTAATGGGAGTTACTGGAATGACAGCACACAGTCTTTTGACCGTACCAGACCATGTTCACCCTGCTGTTTGTTTCTTTAGTTTAATGATCACAATTCGTTTTGGTAGAATCCTATACATTTTTGTATCCAGAAGAACGACAAATACATTTATTATTATTTTTCAACTTGAATCGAACTCTGGATTTTTATGCGTCAAGACTAACATTTCACCACTCTCCATGGGTCTCCCGGTCGCGGCCAGCTACGACAGAGCCTGGATTTGAACCAGGTTCTCTAGTGGCACAGCTAGCACTGCGATGCAGTGCCTTAGACCACTGCACCACTCGGGAGGCTTTACTAAAATTTAGACATACGACTTACCACACCTGGTCTCAGGGATGGTTAACTCTGGAAATTCCTATGGTCTCTACTGAGTTAGGTAAATCAGCTTTTAGTTTTCTTGCACCTTATTTGTGGAATAATCTTCCAAATGTTCTTAAATGTGATGTTCTGGTGCCTCCAGGGCAATTCCGAAAGCTGATTGTGGACCTTATTACTGATGAATGTGTTTGTTTTTTATGACTGTGTTTTTCTTTCTGCTTGCATTTTGATGTGTATTTTCTGTAATTTATGTAATTCAGGGCACATCTGTTAAAGAGACCTTGGTCTCAGTATGAATCCCTGATAAAATAAAGGTTAAAAAAATAAAAAAGCCTGTATAATAATACAGTAATTGTCTATTATTTACATAAGTGGCATCATAGGCCACAATCAAAGCACACATTCATTTAACCTGTTACGTCATGTTATGTCATGTTTCTGACAGCATTACATAGCGTTATGCAGGCCATATGACAAAGGTCAGGTGAAGTCATTGTCACAGTGGGTTGTGGGTACTCACGTGTTCCAGGAAACAGGAGCCGATCTCGCTGAGGTGCGGCTGCTCCTTGTTGAACTTCTTCTCCAGATCTTTCAGGAACTTCTTCTGGAAGCGGTAGATGTCTTCGATGTTGCCGAAGACGCACCGCAGCTGCTCCTCTGTGAACATGTCTATCCTCTTACGGCACTGCTTGATGTAACCCTGAGAGAGGAACAGTAGACCCATGTAGTAAATCATACAGATGTATACCTGATTTTACTCTGTAAAATATGTTAAGAATTCCCAGAAATAATCAGGTTGAAACTTGAGACGTTGTAGTCTGAACTGAGCTGAACTGACCTCACAGATGTCTTTGAGGTGTTTGATGTAGTCTCTCTCCGTGCTCATGATCTCATTGATGACATTAGTCCTCATCTGTTCCTTACAGGGCAGGCCTGGTCCCAGGAACAGACCCACCCTTGGCTGGTCCTCCTCCCCAGCCCCAGCCTCCTCCAGGTGGGATAGGTACTCCTCCATGGGCTCATCCTGGTTCACACGCAACTACAGGGACCAGGAAGAGAGGCGCCGTTGTTCTAGAATACCCTCACTATCAGATCACTAAAGTTTAGATGCTACAGAAACATTTTGCACAACTGCAGCACCAGCTGCACTTACAACCCTAACAATAATAATATATATCAAATATAAGCAAGAGACAGAGTAGTTCATTTCTGTTGTCCTCAGTTCCCCAGGGAGATGGAGAGAGAGAGAGAGAGAGAGAGAGGAGATATGTAGAGTTAGTTTCTTACCCGGACGAAGCTGGCTGGGAACCAGCCCTCACTGTCCAGGATGCGTCCCCACCACCACTCCTTGTTGGTGGCATCCACTACCTCAATGACGTCCCCCGCCTTGAAGCCCAGCTCCTGGTCGTCCATTGTGACATGGTCCCACAGGGCCTCGGCGTACACACAACTGCCATCACTAATCAGCTGGGGAGGGGACAGACAAACAGACAGACAGACAGACAGACAGACAGACGGGGACAGACAGACAGACGGGGACAGCACAGGTCAGTATGGGAGGATTTCACAGTGACATAACAAAAAAATGGACGACATTGTAATACAAGGTAAACAAGGTTTATAAACATTTTAAACAATTCAGGAAAAACTCTAGTTATGGGCTAACTAGGGGCCATTTCCCTGGTCAGGTGGTCTGGAACCCCCTCTGGAGGTTATTCATCCAGTTTATAAATAACCTCACTGGAAAGCAGAGTGGCTGGTAGAGAGAGTAGAGACATGCATGATTTACAATACAGGGTAGTAGGGCTGTACAGTATTATTATTATTATTATTAGTCATTTAGCAGACGCTCTTATCCAGAGCGACATACAGGAGCAATTAGGGCTAAGTGCCTTGCTCAAGGGCACATCGACAGATTTTTCACCTAGTCGGCTCGGGGATTAGAACCAGCGACCTTTCGGATACTGGCACAACGCTCTTAACCACTAAGCTACCTGCCACCCAGTATCACTATACTACAACGCATGACTCTGAAGCATGAGGCAAAAAAAGCTATAGACTACTATTCATCACAGACAAAGGAGTACAATGTTTACAATGTTGTTTCAACCCAGAAATGATGACTTTGTAACAACAATGTTTCTACTCTGTAGGCTACATTTTAGCACAGACACAACATAATGATTTTTTCCGCTACTGTGCTAGCTAAGCTAACTGAGTCAGGTCCTGAGTGGAAAGCAATGATTCCACTGAGCCAAGCCACTGAGACAGAGATCAATGTGGAGATAAGAGAGAGAGAAAATAGCCTGATAAATGTACTGCACACGTACAGTGCCTTCGGATAGTATTCAGACCTTGACATTTGCACATTTTGTTAGGTTTCAGCTTCATTCTAAAATTGATTAAATTGTTTTTTCCCCTCATCAATCTACACACAATACCCCATAATGACAAAGCAAAAAACGGAAATATCACATTTACATAAGTATTCAGACCCTTTACTCAGTACTTTGTTCAAGCACCTTTGGCAGTGATTACAGCCTTGAGTTCTTGGGTATGACACTACAAGCTTGGCACACCTGTATTTGGGGAGTTTCTCCCATTCCTCTCTGCAGATCCTCTCAAGCTCTGTCAAGTTGGATGGGGAGCTTTGTTGCACAGCAATCTTCAGGTCTCTCCAGAGATGTTTGATCGGGATCAAGTTCGGGCTCTGGCTGGGCCACTCAAGGACATTCAGAGACTTGTCCCGAAGCCACTCCTGCGTTGTCTTGCTTAGGGTCATTGTCCTGTTGGAAGGTGAACCTTCGCCCCAGTCTGAGGTCCTGAGCGCTCTGGAGTATGTTTTCATCAAGGATCTCTCTGTACTTTTCTCCGTTCATCTTTAGCTCGATCCTGACTAGTCTCCCAGTCCCTGCCACTGATAAACATCCCCACAGCATGATGCTGCCACCACTATGCTTCACCGTAGGGATGGTGCCAGGTTTCCTCCAGACGTGACGCTTGGCATTCAGACCAAAGAGTTCAATCTTGGTTTCATCAGACCAGAGAATCTTGTTTCTCATGGTCTGAGAGTCTTTAGGTGCCTTTTGGCAAACTCCAAGCGGGCTGTCATGTGTATTTTACTGAGGAGTGGCTTCCGTCTGGTCACTCTACCATAAAGGCCTGATTGGTGGAGTGCTGCAGAGATGGTTGTCCTTCTGGAAGGTTCTCCCATCTCCACAGAGTAACTCTGGAGCTCTGTCAGAGTGACCATCAGGGTTCTTGGTCACCTCCCTGACCAAGGCCCTTCTCCCCCAATTGCTCAGTTTGGCCGGGCGGCCAGCTCTAGGAAGAGTCTGGGTGGTTCCAAACGAATTCCATTTAATAATGATGGAGGCCACCCTGTTCTTGGGGACCTTCAATGCTGCAGAAATGTTTTGGGTACCCTTCCCCAGATCTGTGCCTCGACACAATCCTGTCTTGGAGCTCTACGGACAATTTCTTTGACTTCATGGCTTTTTCTCTGACATCCACTGTCAACTGTGGGACCTTTATATAGACAGGTGTGTGCCTTTCCAAATCATGTCCAATCAATTGAATTTACCACAGGTGGACTCCAATCAAGTTGTAGAAACATCTCAATGATGATCAACGGAAACAGGATGCACCTGAGCTCATTTTATTTAGAGTCTCATAGCAAAGGGTCTGAATACTTATGTAAATAAGGTATTTCTGTTTAATAAAAACCTGTTTTTGCTTTGTCATTATGGGGTATTGTGTGTAGATTGCTGAGCATATTTTTTTATTTAATCTATTTTAGAATAAGGCTGTAATGTAACAAAATGTGGAAAAAGTCAAGGGGTCTGAATACTTTCCGAAGGCACTGTACATGTACACACACATACAAACTACTGCGTCAACATCATGCTGGCATCATAGTAGTAAGCCTTGTCCGAGCCAGAATGGCCGATAAAGCAGGAGCCTATCTCCTGTTTCTGTAGTGAGGCAGCTTGATGTACCAGTACACCCCCTGGACAGGACACTAGTCTATCTCCTGTTTCTGTAGTGAGGCAGCTTGATGTACCAGTACACCCCCTGGACAGGACACTAGTCTATCTCCTGTTTCTGTAGTGAGGCAGCTTGATGTACCAGTACACCCCCTGGACAGGACACTAGTCTATCTCCTGTTTCTGTAGTGAGGCAGCTTGATGTAACAGTACACCCCCTGGACAGGACACTAGTCTATCTCCTGTTTCTGTAGTGAGGCAGCTTGATGTACAAGCACACCCCCTGGACAGGACACTAGTCTATCTCCTGTTTCTGTAGCGAGACAGCTTGATGTACCAGTATACCCCCTGGACAGGACACTAGTCTATCTCCTGTTTCTGTAGTGAGACAGCTTGATGTACCAGTACACCCCCTGGACAGGACACTAGTCTATCTCCTGTTTCTGTAGTGAGACAGCTTGATGTACAGTACACCCCCTGGACAGGACACTAGTCTATCTCCTGTTTCTGTAGTGAGACAGCTTGATGTACCATTACACCCCCTGGACAGGACACTAGCCTATCTCCTGTTTCTGTAGTGAGGCAGCTTGATGTACCAGTACACCCCCTGGACAGGACACTAGTCTATCTCCTGTTTCTGTAGTGAGACAGCTTGATGTACCAGTACACCCCCTGGACAGGACACTAGTCTATCTCCTGTTTCTGTAGTGAGACAGCTTGATGTACCAGTACACCCCCTGGACAGGACACTAGTCTATCTCCTGTTTCTGTAGTGTGAGACAGCTTGATGTACAAGCACACCCCCTGGACAGGACGCAAGTCATTATTTTATTCTTGCTCAAAAAGCCACATCTAACTAACTATCAATAATGTAACTCCTCAAGCGTAGGCTCCTAACCTTAATATGCTAGGCTTTTATACTGTGGAGTATAGCTGGGACGATAAACCGAAGATTATCAACACCGACCATACCGACCACTTATGGTGGGCATTTTGCTGATATCGTTCATTACGATAAGTAGCCTATACTAGAGGAATGTGAAGTCTGTCATGAAATAGGTTTGCTAATATGTGTTATTGTTAATGGGACAATCGATGGCTAGTAGTTTAAATGGTAATAAGAAAACTGTGGTGCACATTGATGTTAGAAACGTATTGTTCGATTTATCGTTACCGCATTAATTCAGTCAATTTATGGTGATATGCTTTTCTATCCTTATGGCCCTGCTTTACTGTCAAACATAGGCTAAGTGATATCATAATATGATCTATGTTTCGATTTCTATGTCTGTTCTGTGGGCTAGGGTGATCTATATGTCCAATTCTATGTCTGTTCTGTAAGCTAGGGTGATCTATATGTCCAATTCTATGTCTGTTCTGTGGGCTAGGGTGATCTATATGTCTATTTCTATGTCTGTTCTGTGGGCTAGGGTGATCTATATGTCTATTTCTATGTCTGTTCTGTGGGCTAGGGTGATCTATATGTCTATTTATATGTCTGTTCTGTGGGCTAGGGTGATCTATATGTCCAATTATATGTCTGTTCTGTGGGCTAGGGTGATCTATAGTCTATTTATATGTCTGTTCTGTTGGGCTAGGGTGATCTATATGTCTATTTCTATGTCTGTTCTGTTGGGCTAGGGTGATCTATGATGTCTATTTCTATGTCTGTTCTGTTGGCTAAGGTGATCTATGTCTCCCTGCTATAGATCCATCATCATGGCGAGGGGGACTATGGCCCTGTTGCTAGGCGACATGCCCCCACAAATCTATTCTCTCCTCTTCTCTCTTCTCCTCTGCTTTTTTTCTCCTCTACTGATCCTGCCATCATTATACAACTAAACCCCAGAATATCTCCTTTCACTGAGAGTAGAGATGCATCATGTGAACCAGGTGAAAGACATAATAATATTCTAGTATTAGCTGTACTGGTATATTGATGTGAGTTTGTTTACAGAGGGAAAATAGAGGAAGAATCCAAACATGCACACATCTCTGCCAGGTGGTGGATGTAAACAGTGCACATCTCTCTGTGTGCCTCCTCATCCCTGGGCCATGGTACATCCCTGGGCCATGGTACATCCCTGGGCCATGGTACTTCCCTGGGTCATGGTACTTCCCTGGGACATGGTACATCCCTGAGTCATGGTACATCCCTGAGTCATGGTACATCCCTGAGTCATCGTACATCCCTGAGTCATGGTACTTCCCTGGGCCATGGTACATCCCTGGGCCATGGTACTTCCCTGGGCCATGGTACATCCCTGGGCCATGGTACATCCCTGGGCCATGGTACTTCCCTGGGCCATGGTACATCCCTGGGCCATGGTACTTCCCTGGGCCATGGTACATCCCTGGTCCATGGTACATCCCTGGCCATGGTACTTCCCTGGGCCCATGGTACTCCCTGGGCCATGGTACATCCCC